ATTGAGTAGTGATGTAGTTGTTTCGTTAATTACTTCATATGGACACAAACAACGTTGTCGTCAATTCATATATACAAGTCTGTTAATTCAATTCATCAAATGGGTTGCTCCTATATCTGTTTCTTTTTCTTTTGCTTTTTATTCCAACTCATACTACAATTGGATTTTGTTGCTATTTATCCCAACGGCTCCTACCGATATTGGGTTTTGCTAATTCATTAAAAATTATGTGTAAAAGAATCATTGCTTCTGATAATATTTTTAGTTTTTGTAAATCATAAAAACGGTTATGGCTAGTCATGCAAATAACATTTTTTTAAAGAAAGAAATTTATAACATTTTTTAATGCAAATAACATTAACAAAATTTATAATACATATATAAAAGTAGTTAGTAAATAAAAAATTAATTGATGTCTTAAAAGTCATTTAAGAAGTTATTAGCTGATTATAAACAACTATTTAACCAAACATCATTTTACAAACTGCTAATACTATCAGCTGATCAAAATAGCCAACAGACTCCGTTGTTAGCAATCAACCAACATAATCAGTCAACAGCTAACAACCAACGGACATTTGCCAAACACCCCATATGTGAATAGTGAAAAAGTCCAATGTTGCAATTAAAAGTGAACGAATGTAGTATGTAGTGAAAGTTTTTATTTCAATGACATTGTTTTTACTTTGTTGTTCAACATGCTAAGTAAACATCGACCAAATCTTGTGGAATGGTAAGATGATTTTTATAGTTAATCAACAAATGAGTAAGATGATCAACTATAATGTCATGACAAATCTTCATGTCAGGCCGGCCTGACGGGATGCTCCGTCCGGCCGAGCCCATTTGGGCATCTTCCCGGTGGAATTTTTTTATGAACGTTTTTGAGCATGTTCCTCATCAAGTCTAGTTTGTTCATACCAAATTTCAGCTCAAAATTCGATCGGGAAGTCATTCAAATAATTTTTTGAAGTTGACTGCAGTTTTATATGTATATTTTGACGCAGTCAACTTCAAAAAATGATTTGAATGCCTTCACGATCGAATTTTGAGCTGAAATTTGGTATGGACAAACTAGACTTAATGAGGAACATGCTCAAAAATTTTCATCAAAAAGTTCCACTGGGAAGGTGCCCAAACAGGCTCGGCCGGACGGAGCATCCCGTCAGGCCGGCCTGACATGAAGACCACTCATAATGTCATTATTTCGAAAAGAAGGCAGAAGGTACGACGAATAATGACAATTAACGCTTGCTATTAATTATAACAAGAATCGAATTAAAATCAAAATTTTCGACATAGAATAGAACTGTAAAGATTGAAATTCTTAATTAGGTATTGAAACCTGTGATCTAAATCGGTTAAACTAATGAATTGCACAACATTCATGAAGTATGTATGAATACAAAATGTATGTCTGATGAAGTCTGTGTGTACGGTGGGCTGAATTCATGTTAAGAATTAACTCACGCAACATGAAGAACAATAAGAAAGAACACACGAAATTTGGTAACCCAGTGCACCACAAAAGACTACGTCTGGGGGCGCTATCAAGCCAAAAATATTATTAATACTATCGGATCAAGTGATTACATGGGAGCGAGCTTGTATTTATAGAGAGTAAAACATAACCCCTAATATAACTAGGACGTGCGCGACCCACATCTGTACGGCCCAAATTGTACGGAAACTCGTGGTTCTTCAGAAACGGACCAAAAATTCAGACATATGTGATATATTGGGGGTGTTTGGTAAATGGCGTTTCAGCAAAAAAAATGGCGGTTTGACCACTTTTGACGTTTTCGATGAGTGAAAACGATATTTGGTAAATAGCGGTTCGGCACTAGCATTTTTGGACGGAACCGCCGAAATGAAAACGCTCCAAATGGAAGAGTTTTTGGTTAGCGTTTTGAAAAATGAAGTTTTGTATTAATTTTATGGCCAAACAACTAAATTATCAAACATCTTCTGAAAACTCGCCAATTTTATTCCGCTGGTCAAACCCGCTGATTGAATCCGTTATTAACAACATGCTAACATAATCCACTATCCGCTAATCGTTATCCGTTAAATGTCAAACACGCCCATTATGCTAAAAAGCAATTATACTACATTTAAACATTAACAAAATGGAATAAACGGTAAAATGGAAAGATTTATATACATAAAAAAAAATTAAAAAAAAAAAACGATACACCGTTCGTCGACCCTTCATAGTTATATCTCCCCTATATATTCGATGCTTATTTAACGAAGTAAATTTCAAGATAAGAAAAATTATTGACAATCCTAATAAGTACTCCGTAATCAACAACCATTACAGAGAAGAAGATTGAAACGTATTAGGGGTGTTTGGAACTGATTCTACTTCTGCTTCTTTTTTAAAGTAGGAGCAGAATCAGAATCAGTTTTAAGAAGCTGGTACCCCCAGCTTCTGTGAGTAAATTAGAGCACCAGAAGTGCTTCTGGAATTTCACCCAAACACTCCAGCTTCTGCTTCTGTTCCTTGAAGGAGCAGAATCAGTTTTGAGAATCAGATCCAAACACTCCCTTAGACAAATTGGGAAGGATTCGTACAATAAAAGAGTAAAATGAAGAATAATTAATAAAGATTAATGAATCTATGGAAATAAATATCACACGATTGTAGTGAGTGTTCAAAAGGAAAGAAGATTAATGAAAACAGAGAATATTGATGGGAAAAAGAAACTAACTAGATATCGGACGTATGAATTATGAATGAAAGGAAAGTTCTAAATATTTGCAATCAGAATCAATCGAAAAACGTAGTTAATAAACCAGTAATGATAACCCACATGCATAAGCAGGGACGGATCCAGGATTCTGAGTCAAGGGGGGCGAAATTTTTCGTTAGTGTAGGGGGTGAATTTTTTTTGTTAGTGTAGCGGGTGAAATTGTTTTCCCTAGTATAGCGGGGCGAAATTTTTTCGCTACTGTAGGGCTATGCGGGTATTTTTATTCAAAAAATGACATTAATATATGCACATCCCGAACGACATTTAAATCTATTACATTCTAAGTTTAGACAATGACAAAGACATCAACCAATACATTTTTAATAACTTCTACATTGTTTAACCTCATGAATCGGTTATTGAATTGTAATTTTTGTCCACCAAGGAGAGTGTTCGTGAGTCATGACTCATGAGAAGTTTTCTTAATATTACAATAGCAGTATACTAGTATGTATGAGATTGTTATTTTTAGAATAATATGCACCACATACACACACACACACATATATATGGTGCATATTATATTTTAATATTTTTAATAATTCTATAATAATTTAGAGTTTATTATCCATGCAATAAATTATTTTTAGAAAGCAAGAAGTAAATGAATTATGTAATCTAATGTCTACAAATATTTATATTTTGGATTCATTTCACGTGATCTAAAAATTGTGTAATTAGTGTGTCTGGTATTTAATATTGTTTGATATATGTTTTACGAAATCCAGCACTTGTTATCTAACAAAGATAATTAAACATTACAAAACTAGGAATTCTTATATAATAAGTATCCTAAATCTTAAATAACGAGTTACTCTATTGTTTATTTGTTTAAGTTATGTAAATTATTTTAGATGTTTCTTCTTTTAAATCTCCAATTAAGTATTACATTATGTAAGACTATATATATTAATTTTGAAAATTAAAAGCTAAGGGGGGCGAATCTAATTAAATTATGAAAGTTTTATGAAAATATTACATATATGGTAAAAAAAATTGAATGTCCAAGGGGGGCGGTCGCCCCCGCGCCCCCCCCTAAATCCATCCCTGTGCATAAGGATATGTGAGACATTAGACAAACGTCAAAGACGATCAACAAGAACCTGAAACTCCTAACAATCAACAAAACATAATTACTTTTGTTCTGATTTTTTGTTATATTTTAAGTTGTTTTAACTTTGATGTTTTAACGAATGTCAAAGACTTGAATTTCTTGTCCAATCGATTGTGTTTAAAATTTCTGGGTCTAATTTGATAAATATATGATACCGAGGACTTCATATACGGAAAAGATCTTGTCCAGTCGAATTGAAGGAATAAGATCCTCCGTCCGACCGCCGCCATTTGGAGAAGTTCACGGTGTAATTTTTATATGAAATTTTTTCGACATGTTCCTCATCAATTCTAGTTTATAAAAAAAATCAGCTAAACATTCTATCGGGGAGGCGGTCAAATAAAATTTTGAAAATAATTGTGTTTTATATGTTTAATTTTGCGCAATTATCTTCCAAAAATTATTTGACTGTCTTCTCGATCGAATTTCTAATTGGATTTCTTTGTGGATAAACTAGACTTGATGAGGAACATGCTCAAAAAAATTCATCAAAAAATTCTGCCTAGAACCGCCTCAAACGGCGGCAGCCGGACGGAGGATCATGTCCCTACGGCTAGACATGATCATTCCTCACTTCATATATATTTATATACTTCGTTTGTGTTTTGTTATTGTCTAAGAATGTTCATAATTGGACAAAAATTTTCAGGTTTGGTCCAATATGGTCTCGTCTCGTCGGTTTATGCCTAGTCTTAGTGCATTTTATAACTGTTGACGTCTGGTGTTATATGGTGTGTTTAAGTTTGGTGTGATCTGATGTGTTTATGTTTGTCTGCTCTGGTCTGGGACTGAAATAAGTACAAGTAAAAATATCCAAGTCTTTGCTCTATTTAAGTTTGATTTGATATAATGTAATAACCTATTTAAGGTTGTTTACTGCTCCGTATTTTCTATCTAGATCTCGTACTTGAATCATTCGGATCTGGATTCTCTGCCTTGCTATAGCAGCAAGGTAGGGTGCGTGGCTTTTACAGCCACGCGATTCAACCAAAACAGCCCCACCACCTCTCCTCCCCTACCGTCCCTGCCGTTGGATGCCGCAAGGCACCTCTGCCGCACGGCAGAGGATCCAAATCCGAATCATTCGGCCTATTCACAAGTATTAATAACAGAGGATTGTCTCCTCTTAAAAACTTAAGAAACGGGTGAGATGAAAGAGAAATGGCGTGCGTGTGTTTTGAGACAAGGAAGGTAGAGAAGTTATGTCCGCATAAACGTGCCACCCATTCAAGCTTTAACCCATCTGCCACTTATCATGGATCATCACAACTCTTCTTCCTCCTCAATGCCAATTCCCCACTTTTTCACTTTCCCAACCTTCATCACAACCACAAAGAAAAAGACCTCCCAAGCACTCCTTCTTTCTCTATTCTTCTTCACTTCCATCATAGTCTACCATCTCCTTACACCTCAATCCCATCTTCTCGATCAAATCGGCTTCTTGTCCAAGATCATACCCACACCGCCAAGAACCCAAGACCTGTTCCCAAAATCTTCAACTTGTGACTATTCTTATGGAGAATGGGTGTGGGATGAAAGCTATTCCCGGGAAAAGTACACCGAGAACTGCTCGTTCTTGGATCCCGGGTTCCGCTGCCATGCCAACGGCCGCCTCGATTTAGGCTATCAGAATTGGAGGTGGAAACCATATGGTTGTGATCTTCCAAGGTAAGCCTCCCTGGTTAGCTGATAGTTTTTATCTTATCACTCATCATTTTTAAATGCCATTACATTCTTTTTTGCATGGCATGTGAGAATGTGTCCTTAACTGTAGTTTTAGTCAAATCATCGATGATGGATGGATCTTAATCGAACAGTGTCGTTGACTCGTTGTCATGACAAAATGTTGGAATGGGTAATGGCAGAGCCAGGAATCTATGGTTGGGGGCGAAGCTTGAAAATTTTACATCGTCGGAGTCAAAACATAAAACATCGACACACTTTTCTCGTGGGGGAGCCGAGACTCCCTTCAGCCTCTCCCTATCTCCACCCCGGGTGGGTTGGATAGAAGAACTCACTCGATCAAATAATCTTTGGTTATAGGTTTCTTTTACAAATGAAATAAATTTGGGATAGGTATGAAACTAGTTCTTTTAATTTTTTTTATTTGTTTGTTGAAGTGATGAATGAAGTGGGGAAATAGTCGTATTAAGTTATTAATTAACTGTTTGCTGTTTTTGTGTGTAGTTTTGAATACTTTTGGGACAAAGTTGGCTTGGCTTAATGATTACGGGTTTTAACGTTGCCGACACGAACTTGACCCATGACACCTAAGATTGTTCTCTTGAAAAGCCCGACGCAAATTGATCCTTCAATTGCGGCTATACGCCAGATTCCATGCTTCAATAACACTCACACTTCAACTACCCTAAACCATTGGCATAGATAGGGGAAAGTGGGAAACCAGTCAAAGCACGTTATGGTGGAACACTTCCCATAACAATTGGTTGAAGAAATAGTGTAGATAAATTTTTAATTTTACCTAAGAAGGAAGAATTTTAACTGAAAATTTAATATAAAATGAATTATTATGTTTACCTTTTCATGTTTAAATACGTAACTACACACTACGTAGTCATGTACTAGGTATTTGTTTAAAAAATTGCATAGTCATTAAAAAGGAATAAGAGGAAGGTGAGCTGTGACGCACCGGTTATAGTGTTGTTGTGTGGTTGAAAGGTCATGGTTCCCATGTCTCGCCGAAAATTTGACAGGATTCTTATCAAAATTTTGATAAGAGAGATTTTCGTTTTATACACCCTTCTAATGTCCCTTCTCCAAACTCTCACCTTGCAAAGATGTCTTCGTACATCGGGCTTCCCTTTATAAAAAGGAATAAGAGCGCCATTTACCTATGATTCTAAGGATGTTTTTATTTGAAATGTTTTCAGTCCCATATCATATTAGACTAGACCAGACAAGATTTGAATAGTTATAAAATACATAGAGATCAGAAATTTTTCCGACTGACCCGTTTAGACCAAACCAAATCAGACCAGACAAGAAAATATCAATCCAATTGAAAACATCATAACTCAGATAGACACCAACATTGTTGTGTTTATTAAAGAAAATATCATATAAGTTTGAGGCTAAAGCACATCATCCGTAATTGCACTTTCATTTCACGATTTCTTCCATATGTCTGAAACATTCTATGTGCACTTCACTCTGTAATTGCACTTTACTCTTCACAATTCACAATTCACAATTCACCCTGTACTATTCATTATTTTTAATATTTATGCAGGTTTAATGCAAGTGAACTTTTAGAACGGATCCGGAACAGCAGAATAGTTTTTGCCGGTGATTCCATAGCTAGAAACCAATGGGAATCTTTCTTGTGCATGTTAGCACAAGGTGTTAATAATAAATCCAGCATTTACGAGGAGTCCGGGAACCCCATAAGCAAACACCGAGGCTATCTCTCGATGCGATTTCAAGAATTCAACCTCACTGTCGAGTACTATCGGGACCCATTCCTTGTAACCCTTGACCGGCCACCGGTCAATGCACCAAAGGAAGTGAAGGGTGTGGTTCGACTTGACAAGCTTCACTGGTTTGCAGCAAAGTGGGTTGGTGCAGATGTCATCATATTTAGTGCAGGTCATTGGTGGAACGATGATAAAACCACTAAGATGTAAGCAACTACTCTCAAGTCTCAACTAAGATCATGCAATTCAAGTAATTAGGGATGGACAACAGAAACAGAGTGTAGTTAGTCCTAGTCCAGTACTCCAGTACCAGACTGATATTCTGCCTGTTTTGAAACATGGACTAGAGCAGCAAGCAAGACTGGTCCTGTGACTCCAGTCGTAGCTTGGAGTCAGAACAGGTTTGACTGGTTTCTACACATTTTAGTACCGGCTTAGGTCTGCAGCTAGGGAGCCATTTTCATTTCTGAACAAGCCACCGGCTTATCCTAATCTGGTTCAAGAACCAAGTCCACAGGCCACAGCCTGCCCCAATGTGATCAGCAATGTTTTAAAAATCCCAACATGGCAACATCCTTTTATCCTCAAAGATTTTTTTCATTTCAGGTCCATTTAAGATCCCATTTAGTAAGAGCAAATTTTATCTTGAATTTCTCGAAGTTGACAAGATTTTGATCACAAAATAAACAAATATTTGATGACAATATTATGAATGACAATGATGATGTTGAACGCTATAAAAGAACATTTGAGATAGATTTTGATCACAAAATAAACAAATATATAGCTATGAAATAGACAGACAAAAAATATATCTTTCAGTAGTTTGAGCAACTTTAGCAAAATAAATTGGTGTCGGTTCAAGAACCTAATTGATAAAGTTGATAACCAGAATAAAGTGGCTCCCAGTCTAGAGCCTAGGTCCCAGTCTACAGCCCAAGGGACGCCTAGTGCTTTCTAGAGCATGGTGATAAAAAGTACGTAGTAAGAAAAACATAAACCAACAAGTCTCATTTTCTTGAATTTCAGGGGAATATATTTCCAGGAAGGGGAGGCTGTGAACATGACCATGCATGTCAAAGAGGCTTTCCACAGATCCTTGAAAACGTTGGCTTCCTGGGTAACACAGAATCTGAAACCCAGGACTCATGTCATCTTTCGCAGCTATTCCCCAGTGCATTACAGGCAAGTGACAAAGTAATAGCATTGTTAGTGAACGAATGATAAATCTCAGTATGAATGGTTATAAGAAGCCAAAATGCAGGAATGGAACGTGGAAATTAGGAGGTTACTGTCATACAAGCACAGCACCAGAAACAGACCGCAGTAATCTGGAGGGAGACCCAATCAACAATATCTATATTTCGGACATCGTCAAACAAATGAAAGAAATGGGCAGAAATGTTTCCTTCTTGAACATCACTTATATGACTGAGATAAGAAAAGATGGGCACCCTTCAAACCACAGGGAACCGGGCACGCCAGCAGATTCCCCACAAGACTGCAGCCATTGGTGCCTGCCTGGGGTGCCAGACAGTTGGAACGAACTTATTTATGCACATCTCTTGTTTAAAGGGTTCAGAACTATGATGGACTGAATCTGTGCAGCATATCTTTCTAACTCTGGCTACTCCTTAGGCTTCTCACTTGGATCCACTTCAGCTTTCATTTCTTTCATTTTTTCGAGCTGCCTAAGTAGGGCTAGCCTTTCAGGGCCATACGTAGAAGGAATCTGACAGGAAGGGTTACAAAATCTTAAGCTTGATAAAGTTATCAAAAGAATAGTATAGAGTTGGCAAAAGCTTTACCAATGCCGGTACATATCTCTGTATCGCAGCCAACATGGCTGCATGCCCAACTGCAGTGACCTGCAAATGTATATTTCCACACATCAGCTTTACACTAATTGAGCATTTAATCTTCTGGGAGGGAAATAGAGAATGTAAGAGAATATGTCTTATTATAAGACAATGAAAATACTGCTTCGTTGCAACAAACAAAAAAAAACTTTTAACAGAAGGTTATGACTTATGACAGGAATATTGCTTAAAGCTTGACCACTTCTTTTTGCATCAATTTATAATGTTCAGTAACTGTAGACAAGTAATTGACGCTAAATGTCATGCCACCAACCCAAGATATTGGGATTAAGGTGCTGATAATGATGGTGATGAGCACAAGTCAGTCTAAACATCAACTCCAAACAGTACACAGATCTGGTATGTTATGGCAAAAAGAAAGCTGCTTTTATTAGAAATGGAAAATAGAATGTCTGAATGTTTATTCTTTTTTGACAATCCAAACATGAATTACTACAATCAGTTCTAAGAGTTCTAAGTTAAACAACACATGGAATACACTTACAGGAAGAAGCATAAGAAAACTAATCGGAACGACAGATGCCAAATCTGCTAAAGTTCTTCGGAGTACTTGTTTTTCTTTCCCAGTCAACTCATCCCCTATTAGGGACCTCCTTAGCAACTCAGTAGCTGCAGCAGCATCAATAGCAAGAAGCTGAGTACCTTGCCAAACATCCTGACCACGCAAAGCATTGTTATAACTTATGTTTGGATGTTTCTCAGACTTTTTTTTGACATTGTTTCTGAGAGATGGAATTTGAAACCCAAAACAGTGACCGGAATGTGCCCATTTATACACACACAATATTCTCTGGAAAAATTAGACTGTTGGAGACTTCCGGAGACAAAAGACTACTAACCATCTGATTACTGAAGTACCGGTTGAGCCTTCTGTAAGCTTGTTAATAGCTAATTATAAAATGCAAGCGCAATTGGGAAATAGTGTTCAAGTGCTTCACCTATTGATATATAGTACTCTTTCCATTTCCTTTGGACATCCCATTTAAAGGTCTCCATTTCCATTTCCCAGCTAAAGGTTCTCACTTGCCTCTTTTGGACATCCCATTTAAAGGTCTCTACTTCTATTTTAGGAAATAACTAGCACTCTTAAATGACAACTTAATCCTCAAATATTAAAGATAATACACCTAGAACAACACAGTTATCATCAATTACTCCATTATATTTTATACTCACCCTACTACATCTCAAAATATACTCAGATTGCCTGATTTAATTATTGTTTAAAAAACCCTGCCATTTTTAGTGAGAACTTTAAGCCGGGATGGAGGTAGTACATGATCAAGGACAGTGAGTCTCAATGAGAGATAAAAAAGCATACGACATCCTCATACCGTGCTTGTTTCTTTTAATTTCTCCAATGATTTTTCGATGATGCTTTCTTTCTTCTGATAATGAACAAGTTGAGCACCCTCAGCATCCATATGCATGTCCTGAATTTGAGTTAAAAAGAAAATTGATCATACTCGTAAGAAAAGAATGCATAGTTATACACTTATACCACAAAGCACATAAACAACAATGTTGCTAGCACTCCTAGCAGAGAGCACTTAAGAGCTTTGGCCAACATGGATGAATCATCAGTCAGGTATAAATACACATTCAATTAAAGCCTATGATACAAGAGAAAATAGAGGGCTTATCTTTGTGAGATATGACGAAAATGTAGTTACTTAAAAGTTAAAACTTCAAAGAAATTTTTTTGAAACCGTAGTTTTTCTTTACAAATTACTTTATTTTTTATTTTTAAAGCTTTAAACATTATGCTCGTTTCACCCAAGTACAGACCTCTTCAAATTCATTCCAATCAGAACTTCTTTTAACTCGTTGCTCAAGCTCTATTAGCTCACTCCTTAATAAATCAAAACGCTGGAACTCATTGGTCGTGGAGCCTACTGTTTCTGCATCTAACGTTTCCTCTTTAAGGCTTCCAACATCCTACATTCAAATACATACCTCAATAAACATAGAATATATAAGAATTATTTACGAAGAAAGTGAAAATTCAAACTCTAGAAGCACGTTGTGTAAATTCGCAACCCAAAAATCAACAATCAGCAATTTAAATGGACTAAGCAAAGGTCCAACTGGATTATATGATATTCATGACGTTAAACACTTAAACCCCCTTGCTCGTAATGCTCACAAATCTTGGTGAGCAAGTAAATAGAGTCCTAACTCCTAGTACAATCTTGCTACTAGGATATTAACTGCTTTGCAATATAGAGTATCAATGGTGACAGCAAACTATTATTAATAACAATAATAGGAAGCTGATTCTACTACTAACAACAATAATAGGAGGACTACTTCCGCTCTACTCCACTTCTTTCCATCAAAGTAGCCCTAGGATAAGCCACGATTCTTACCATTACCATAGTTTTCATGACGGAGATCACTCATCATGGCTGGTCGCCACACCTGAAGAGCGCCAAACATTGAATGCCATTGCTTAGACATCAACTAGGCATTCATAGGGCACCCAGAATAGATGTTTTGCAAATCTATTTTGATCCGGCAGTCCAACCCGCCAGGTTTGAATTTTCTTTCTTATTTTCTCTTTCTATATTCCCTTTTCTTCAACTTCATTTCTTTACTTTTGGTTATACTTAATTTTTTCTTTATGATTTTTATCCTGTTTCTTTAGATGTCAATCACATGAATCACAACACTAATTCCATATTACAGTATCCCATAGAATCAGAACAGGGTGGATGAAGTGGAAGAGTGCGTCAGGATTTCTATGCGATAGAGGTGTGCCGACTAGACTGAACGGTAAATTTTATAGGACAACAATTAGGTCTGCATTACTGTATGGCGTAGAGTGTTGGGCGGTGAAACAATGTCACATTCAAAAGACGAGAGTGGCAGAGATGCGCATGTTGCGTTGGATGTGTGGGCATACTAGGAAGGACCACATGAGGAATTAGACAAGCAGACAAAGGGTGGGAGTAGCACCTATTGAAGACAAGATGCGGGAGTCGCGCCTACGGTGGTTTGATCATGTGCGTAGAAGACCGAGTGATGCACCTATCAGACGAGTTGAGATGTGTGGAGAAGAGGCGGGGAAGAGAGGGAGAGGAAGGCCCAAACAGACGTGAGTTATGGGAGTCCGAAGTGATATGCTTTTTCTGGGGTTGGATGAGGGTATGGCTTTGGAGAGAGCAAAGTGGAGGGCGGGTATTCGTGTGGAGTGATCCTGTATTATCTATTCCCCTCATCTTTTTTTCTTGTTTTTTATCCTTTTATCCTTATATATATAAACATTATTTTTATCCTTTTTATTTTATCATTTTTAGGTATATTCATCTCTTTTTATATTATCTTTTTTATAATAGATTATCTTTTTTATCTGTATTTTCTTTCTTTTCCTTTTGGTGGTGATATCATGTATTGATTCATGTTAGCTGACCCCAATATCTTTTGGGACTAAGGCTTGGATGTTGTTGTTGTTGTATTCAAATAATGCACACGTCTATTTGTCGCCCAACTGTCAGCCAGGCGCTTACCTAGTCATCTTAACAACAAGGTGGTTTGCTGGCACCAAACCTTCCCTTCACGCCATGACAACCTTGATCATTACACTGGTGGACATCAAGCTTGAAGGAGAGTAACACTGGATGTCAAGCTTTTTTTCCATGATAAAATGTAATCATTGTGAAACAAATAACCAAAAATTTGGTATCACTTGTCAATTGTAATGTTGAAATCTGGACAGTCATGTAGCAGACTAGCAAGTATTAAAAGGGAAAGCTGGGAAAAAACTCCATTCTGGACCAAAATATCTTCTTCTTGAACTATGAACATGAGTAAAATGAGGAGAAACCTTAGTAGTGGAAGATATCCAAGCAGTGTCAGAGGATGTGGGGACAGCTGTACTGGAGTTGGTGTGAGGCCAGTACCTGTTGAGGTGAGTCGGGTGACATAATTGTCAACGATGGCGGTGCTGCCAGTACTGATGGAGAAGGTGAACTGTAATCTTTACTGATCACAGGTAACCACATCTGACGCAATCGATTGTCTACCTTGGCTAGGATAGTGCTTGCTTGGAGTAGTAGGTGGAGGTAGATCTTCTGGTAACAGGAATGCGGGAATCAAATGTATTGGCAGTAATGATAGAATAGCCAGCTGTAGCGAGGCTAACCTTCACCAGTGGCAGAAGTCAATGGTGACCTTTCGATGTATAAAAAAGGGAAAGTCAATGGTGATGCAAGAAGAAAGAAGTTGCAGTCATATGGTCCGCAGTGGAGTCTATTCTGAGGCAGGCAGTGGCAATTAAATTGATGGTGGCATCTAAGTTGCTGGACGCAACAGCAATGTAAGCATTGGTGGAGACAAATCGGATGATAGGAAAAACTTTTGAAGTGAAGGAGATTGTGACTGTGAGCCTGTGAGAATAGTAAACCATGACTGATACTCATGGTACAACAGCCCTCGTGAGTATTGCCCGTGAAGTTCCAGTTGGGCAGCCACTATGTCTACAACAGAATTAAAATATATTAACACTTGGAGCATATTCATGTCCGTCTTCAAAATCCAATATGTTGAACTGGTCTCTTGGTGAATACGCAGTATAGATCATCATACTCATTAACGAAACAACACAATTGATAGACCGCGAGACATAGAGTATGGGGTCATTTAGACTCATAAACTAAACAGCATAATTGATATACCGAGAGCTGTAGAGTGTGGGTCATTTTGACTTCCCCCCCCCCCCCCCCCCCGCATTTTTCTTTTTGTGTTTTTCGGACGTTTTTTAGACTTGCTTTAAAGAAAGGCAACACAGTAATCCTACAAAGGAACCCTGAACAAATAAAATTAATAAATATCTAAATCAAATGCACGCTTAAAGAAAAGGACACGCTTAAACAGAAATTGAAGAGAACTGATAAATATGAACTGATGGTGCGGGTGATTGTGTATTCCCTGGTCAGTGGGAGGTGTTGGTTATTAAGAGGCTTCTGCAAATGTACTCTTGCTGATTTCTGGCTATTGATCTGGCTACTGAATAGGCTTTTTTACCTGACTTGAAGAATAGAGTTTATTGATTGATTGTAAATACAAGAGCTGAATACAATTTATAGGCCTAGGCTAACTTAATAAAGGAAAGAATAATTATGTGCAGGATCTTCTAATTAATTTTTCCATGTGTTAGTCAGAAATAGCAAACTCCAGTGAGACGGAGGGAGTACATATTAACTAAAAAAGAATGTAGATCTGAATAGGAAACTGTTACTAACAACAATAATTTAGGAAACTAATACTAATATTGATAAACGGAAACTAATGAATGTAGCCTAACTGCCTAAGGACGAACCACAAGGTCCACATCCACATCATATTTCCTCATGTTAGAATGCCACAATCTTCACCAGCACGCAAACAGAACTTGTTTATAACATTTTTCAGTTAATCTAGTAATTACAATTTATATCATGAAATTGATTAGTGTAAGGCATACACTTCCAGTGAGAGCTGGTGAAGGACTGTCCAATGCTTTATTTTGGCCACGAACCAAGAAGCCCCAAAGTCCAAGTCCCCTGGCAAAATAGATTTGTGACAAGAAATAGCAGTTAAGCACTAGTGTGAACACCATAGTATCTCCTCAAGCATAGTTAGGAACTTAGGATTTTAAAGTGAAATTAAGAAAAGTTTCAACTTACCTGCTGCCTGTATCCCGATTATTGGCATTAATGTTTTCTTTGTCCATTGAATATTGTCGCTGCTCTTCGGTTGAAGACAGTGAACATGTAGCATCATCTCCCTAGTTGCTCATCAGAACAAATAGTAAGATAAACGAACATACTATTTATGTTGTAGGTTGCAAACTTTTCTGAAAAAATTAAAGCACTATAGCAAATGAGCCAAGTATAGCAATTTGAGTAAAAGGGACTGCTGACTGTATCATGGAAAACAACGAATTATGCTTTTCACTGAGCGGAATTAGTTTCACTACCTTGTTTCTCACAATATCCAACTAGCAAGGCCTTTGTACTTCATTACTTTTTGCACACACTTCTTAGATCTCAAAGTATTTTGTTTTTCAAGGGCATTGAAGCCTTTAATGCCCAATAATCGGGATTATCCTGTCAATTTTTTCTATAAAAACAAGATTTGACGGTTTACCAAATTCACTGTCACTTGGGATTATATGGGGAAGGCACCCCCCTATACTGGAGATTACTCTTGAATAATCCATAGTTAGGATTATTGTGAGATTACCAGCAACAGTTAAGATATCTTGTTTTTTCAAAAAAAAAACTCTCACGAGTTTATTCATTCATTTCGGCTGAAAGAGATCCAACACACCACAGCCTCAACCATCAAGAAAGGGGGACAAGTTCAATTCAATCCACCACCACCACCCCATGCTTCTTCCTCTCAAGCCCGTGTATGGCCATATTCTAACTGGAGTTTACTGAGACAAGCAGGGGCGTATACGCTATGGGGGCAGTGGGGGCAGCTGCCCCCACCCAACCCCCATATATATATATATATATATATACAAAATATAATTTACATATACAAACAAAAAAACATGCATATATTGAAAACTAAAAGCAAAATGGAATAAATAACGCAGCAGAACAGCGGCCCAGGAGCCCAACTACCATGCGCAGGGTCGTGGGTTCAAATCCCTGCATCTACCTTTTGTTTTATAATTGCATTTTGCACTTTTATATAAGTATTTAGATACTTTGTTTGATTTTAGCTCTCTATCTTAACCTTTTGTGGATTCTTCAAACAACCACAAACTTTACTTTGACAAACAATTGGTATAGTTGTTGCCTTGTTGGAATATATTATTAATTTATCTACACATAATATTATGTACTTTTCTCTCTTAATACATGATTGCTGATTGCTTATAAATTTATCTACAAATGATTGCTTACTTTTTGTGTGTTTACTTTATTTTTTATTAATATAATTTCACTAAATTACAAGTAATGTTATTAATATTTCATATTATAAAAAGTGAATTTGACCATACAAAAATTTTTAAAATGCAAATATAATTTTTGGACAAAATGAAATGTTACGTATTAATGTTTTTGTTGAAGAAAATACTCATTATTTATAGCTTATTTTAAAATATTTTGTTTATAATACAAAAATTGCCCCGGCTCAAATTATTTTCTGGATACGCCACTGGAGACAAGGGTTAGACATCCTGAATAAATCATTTCCCCCAAGTCCTCTATAAAGTAAGGGACTACGAAGATACATAATACTACAGTCAATTGAGTGCAAAATTGCATATACCTTCTTGAGAGAAGCAGCCTTTGCACTGAAAGATGCCTCAAGGAACTCAGCCTCTTTCTTAAGTCTTCTTATCCTCTCAAGATCAGAACAAGCAGCTTTTAATTGCTCTCCAGAACTAGACTTTGACATATGCATCTGCTTAAGCAATCCCTCTAGCCTTACTAGAGCTTCTTCAACACTCTCCATTGCCTAAACGAACTCCAAAGTCCAAACATTATGTCTTCATTAACATCCATTATACAATTATTATGAAGTGGGGACTGCTGAATCTCGCAGACATATATACCTTGTCGAAAGAATCTGAATCATTTCCAGACCTTGAATAAGCTCCAGCTTGGTTCCTGTGCATATTCTGCAGCGCTTGTATATCAATGACGTAAAGATGTAGAGATAAGGATAATGTTGAGAACAGAAAGAAAAAAAAATCAACGGGGTAAACCGTTGCCCAGATAATCAACGATAAAAATCCTTGCCCAAAGCCAAAAGGCTGAAATCCAACTTTATTCCAAGATCCCCTATAATGAACCCTGGCAAGGGGTATAAATAGCTTTCTAGTAAGAGACTCAGCATAAACCCTAATCGAGCCCAAATTAATTAAATCTTAATTAAGCCCATACTAACTCTACTAATACTCTACTAATAATAGGCCCAAACTAAAAACATAACATAAACTTTATAATAATAAATAAAACTATAATTCCAGCCTATAACCGGCCCATGGAAGTGGACCCAAGCCCATTCCCACCCCATGCTCTTCCTGCTCTCTATCAGATACTGATGGCTTTCTCTAAAACTGGCGGAGTTTCTTCGTCTGTGTCCTGAAGCTCCAGGGTCACCTTGTGAAAGGAAAGGGAAAGGTGGCCTACATTATATCCTTCCATAGAGCCCCCATTTATGGGAGCTTTGGCACTAGGTATACCTTCTTTTTCTATAAAACTATGGCTATGTATTCTGAGTGTTGTATAGGATTAAATCTAAAAATAGGGAGCACTGGTTATTAATTTCACTTACTTCACAATCCCCAATTCATGCATACACTTCTTCAGCTTGTCATGCCTGAAAAGTTTAGCAGGTAGAAATTATTAAATACAAATTACTCTTATTCAATATCTAGCTCATTGTTTACTGACTCTCTCAACAACATGAAGCATTTATTACATGGTTGAAACATATCGGGCTGCCTTAATATTGGCAGGGTTCTCCAGCCATCTGCTATATTTGATGAAGTTGCGTATCCAGTAGAAGCACACGTCTAACACTACAAGTACAGCTTCAGGATTTGGGAGTTGTTTACTTTTATGCTCAAGCTTGTGTTTGGTATTACTGCTAAATCCCGGATAAAAAAGTAGCCAGTCTAGCTCTTCACACACAACCTATCATATTAGAAGTTTAGAACTATAATTTTTATCTGCCACCAATGAAAGTCCTAATTACTTTATATTCATTAACATGCTAACCTCTACATAGAGTTGATAAGAACTTATTGATGAAAGTTGAGGGTAATATAGGACACTACCGCCAATTAAGTACCTGCTTTGGAGAGATGAAAATAATGAAAAATATCAGATTCAGAGAATCAGACTGCATTAACAGTCCCTGCAGACTGCAATATCAGGGATTCAGTGGAGTAACAACAAATAGGTCCACCTGATAAGCTCTTCAATAGACTCATCCAGAGCATCAAACCCATTTGCAGAAAGAAACGATTGTGTCGTTCTCCCCAAAGCAATGAAGAACCCAAATATAGCCAAATCCCTTTCAAGTACCTATGAAATCACAGTAATAGCAATTAACCTGTTATCTAAACTATGAATTGACTGATCCTTCTAGTTGAGTAACTGCAGTTTGCAGCTGGAGAGCTGCCACATCACAGCAAGCAATGTTTGTAGCACCTGTTTTACAGCCTAGTACAGTAAAGTACTTTCCAGAGTGGTTTTAGTACACAATCTAGTGTACCTAGTATTACTGTGTAAGCTTATGTAAGCATGACTTTGCACGCTTCGAAGTGCAAGGAATACAAGTATTACATTTCCACTCCACACTACTGATACATGAATGTGATCAAATGTGGAGCAGAAATGACTCCATAAGCTCACAAATCACTACTGGCATAAATAGAAGACATGAATTCTAAGCTCTTTTTATAGAACATTGACCTTGGCCAAGAGGAATTTTGTTCAACCCATTCACAGGCATAACATAAAGAAATAGCTTCATGACTGCAGATGTCTGGCCAAGATAGATAAACTGTTCAGAAATCAGAAGTTGTGATTTCATTTTTTTGGGTGAGGGAGGGGAGTAGTTGAAATGGTCACAGAATACTGGTTCAAACTAAATGTGTTGATCTCTATAAGAAAAATGTGCAGGCCTAACCTCGATACTTTCAGATGTTGTGAGCCGAGACCATATTCTCTCCCGGTCTATAGCTCGTTCTAGCTGCTTTTGGACAAGACCCACCCAAAACATGGGCTCATCATTGCCTTCTTGATTATTTCTCACATTCCAAACTGCAGCTCTAGAACCAAAGTGCAAAAGAAATTCTCTATGTAAACCAGCATTTCTTAGTGAATGATATGCTTCTTTTATAGGGATATTTTCAATAAGCATGTCCATCAATCTTCCCAAGGTTTCAGGAATCAGAGAAAAAAATTGCACACAAGAAACTCTCGTTGGACCAATCTTTATAATTGCTGCAATGCTGCGCAAAACAGGCATAAGAAGTGATACATTGCTTGTACTGCCTGCAGAGGAAGACACTGATTTTTGAGTCCTGTAACAAAAAATATTATATTCAGAATTTGTTTAAAAGATGTGTTAAGCACATCTATATGTACATACTAAACTGCACTATGCTCTGTCCATTAAAATACGTACACTGAAGTTGCAGCAGCAAAGTTCTGGTCACTCCCAAAATAATTAATGAAGGTAGCCACCACTGTGGGAATTTGTTCAGACCAAAACCACTCATATACTGCAGGTTGTTTTGCTAATAACTCATCTCTAATCACACTCTCCAGAGGAGAAGATTGCTTTAATACACTGCATTTAAACAGCAGTGACCTTGAACATTAAACTTCAAAACATGAAAATAATGATAACAAAGCTGGAAAATGGAAAGTCCCTACTTGAACGAAAACTCAAACTTTTAGGGAATGATTGATAAATCGTTGTTTCTATGATGTACAGTATTTAGCTCAAACCTAAAACAATAGGAATAAAAAAGTTAGGGACTTGGGGTAATAGAAAATGTTTGCATGTTCCTTCACCTTAATACTTTGACATTACTCATTCAATTTTTCTTCTCCTTCACCATAAGCAAAGGGACTTTCCAGATCGTGACTAACAAAGATTTACAAAACATAAAACAGTGCATGAATATTCTGATGGTGAAAACAGGATAACCTTGCATCTGAGTATTTGACCCTGCAGACCGCAGTCATAATATTTTACTGAAAGAAAATTTTAAGATCGTCATTATTGCATAGACATTTATTACAACCTAGTCTTCATGTTTTTTTTCCAGAATATATTAGAATAATCAATAATCTATATACTCCCTCAGTCCCATTTTGTAAGGTATGTTTCCTATTCACTTGGTCAACACAAATCACTCTTAATCTCTTACTTTATATACATCAAATTTTTATCAAATTTGATTCTGGTTTTTGCGACTTTGTAATGTTTTTAATGTAGTTTCTGAATATGTAATTCTTTTTTTCTAAAAATAATTTGAGTGCGAACAGGGATCCTTTTGCTTTATCGTCGGTCAAACATCGTAAACAGTAAAGTGTCTTACGATTCGGGACGGAGGGAGTAACATTTAACTAAAAATTAATGCGCATTATAGCTCTATACATGGCACTACTGGTGGGCATATTATGAAAAGTAAAAAGTACCAGCGCTGGATAAAAACAGTGATATCATTGCCTCTTCCATCTCCTCGTGATGATAGTTCATTTGTTGCTTGAAGAAGAGAGTATACAGATGCCTGAACAATGTAACCAATGTTTAGCGGACACAGACAATATGATCATAATTACTGGGCAGAGATAGAGAAAATGTGGAACCACACACTGAAGTGGTCTATACTCTCCATTGATATGATAGAGTAACAACTTTACACACTCAGATTTCACATATGTGCACTTTCATAATAAACAGATCAAAAGGATAAGAAATTAAGAGTATTGATAGCTTGGCTTCAAGCTAATAAGGACCTCTATTGTGTAAAATCCAAAAATTAGCCAAACAGAGGTTGCATCTTTTGAACTACTTATCAAGCAGCTTTGACCCAGCAGCCAGTGATTTAGCCAGAAAGATGGTCAGAGGAAGAATGCCTAGCAATTAGGCTGCCTAGGCGCCAACCTTCGAATAAGGCTTTTTCACAGTTTCCATATATGGGTTACTAAAATTTCTTCAAAATAATTTTCCAAGTAACTAACTTGATTGCAAGTCTTGGGTTATAAGCACTGTATATTGAGTAAAATGACTAATTGAATTAACATGAGATTGAACTCCAAGGAATTGTGATTTAAGGAGCTACTAGCCTACTAGTCTACTGCAAAAAATGAACAACTCAATAAAAGGTAATAGAATAAGTTATCTCACATATACAACAACAAAAAACTATTATTGACTTAATGGTGTGCAAGACAAAATGCTATATCGAAAAATGACATTGTTTGGCAGGGGGGAAAGCAGGCGGAACCAGGTTCTGTCTCGTGCCGCCTTCAGCCAGTTAGTCAGCCAGAAGACTAATTCAGCCAATTTGTTTTACAACATGGTGGGCAGGTGGTTACTTGCCAGTTACCACCAAAAGCCTAGGCACCACCTTGGCTGCTATTTAGCACACTGGTAGCGGCTAGCACATGGTCTGAAATGCGGCATGTGGTGTGAAAAGGACAGAATTATGCTAATGCTAAATGCAGTGTATTTCCCAAAGATAAGTACGAAACAAAGCAAAGAATATGGTCATAACACTGAGTAAATCCATAGTAAATAGTGATGACCAACCTGATATGACAGAACCTTCACCCAGGCTGTTTTGTCTATGCCTAGCCAGGCAGATGAGAACCAAGACCTTGACAATGATCTTTGCTTAATTCCATGCTCAATTAGCCTTGCAGCATCATGGATTGATTGCACAAGTCCAGAACTGTTCTCTTCAGTTTGTAAAGAAAGATCTAGTTTCAATTTCATTTCCTCAACATCAGCATTAACACTTGCATTAGGTCTCTCATTAAGTGTCACCCCATCATCAGCAGAAGCAAAAGAATAATATTGTTTAGTCTTCCTTGACTTGTGAGTATTTATGTAATGTTTCATAATATCTGGCAATGTGTGACTTGAACAAATGTGGTCCTTCTCTGGTGAAGAAATGTTTGCATAGGCTCTCTTCCTTGTATAGCATCGAATAAATGTTAGACGATCCAAAACTACTAACCTTCGATTGAAATCCTTCCTTCTAAGTGGTGAACTGCTAGAACTGCAAATTAGGGGAAATGACGTTTTTCAAGTTTTGTATCAAGCAAAATAAACATAAATCATGTATTGACCCACAGATTCAACAGAAAGATTAAAAACGGAAAAAAGTGATACCTGTTGGAAGGAAGAAGCATGTATATCATACTGATTACTTTTCTTTCCATGATGGACTGCCTAAACATTTCATTTAATTCTTTTCTTTTAACCTCAACGGGTAATGTGCATACATCATACATGTTCATGAGCCTAAGACCACATGCTAAATAAGCTCGCAAGATATTAGTATGCAAAGGACTGATTTCGGCATTATTAAGGCAACAACAGACACCATTTTTATTTTTAAAATACTGAAATTTTTAGCTCCAAGTGGTGCGGACTGCTAATGTCCACTTTTGTAAGTTACTGCAACTAATGCAAGCTTCTGTGATAAATTAATTGATTTAAACTTTCTTATACGTTATAACAATAGCACCCTGTTTTACATTATTTCAGTAAGTTCCTAAGCTAATAGTACCCACTGTCATTATTCCCTATCTAATCTGAGGCACAAATTCTGAAATTAAAATAAGAATAACTATAATCACAAATAATACTGATGATATTAATACGAATTATTAATAAGTTTACCAGCCATAGTGAAAAGACCGTAACTTTTAGATTTTAGACACTGACCAACTTACTTCAGTAAACTAGCTAATTCAAAGTCTCGACTACTTGACCAGCAAATAAAAGAAATCCCGTTCCTTCAAGTACAACTTAAACACATAGCTAGCAGCAATACGAAGATTGGTTATGGTTTAACAAATCTGAAAGATCGGAATTTTAGAAAGGAAAAAAACGAACACTGAGTTTATAGGGAGTGATTGAAGTTACCTGGAGGAAGCAAGGTTTTGATGGTGCAGCTTGATTGACATCGGCGGGAAAGAGGAGCGCCAAAGATGATAACTGGATAAGAGTTAAAAAAAACAAAGAATATCTAATGTGTTTGGAAAATGCAAGGTTTCCTTTTCCGGGCGGAAGGTGAACTATCTTTGGCGACGAAGAGCAGTGCAGGGAGGAGGGGATGATGTGGCGGGGAGGTTTTCCCATAGACGTGTGGATGCGGCCATGGGATTATCACAAATTGCTGCTTAAATGATCAAATCCGGATTGATTTAAATTGGTTTAAATGTTTTCTAGTCTATTTAAGTCTTTTCTGGTCTGAACAAGTGTAATCTTGTCTGGTGGACGTTTGGTCTTTGTTTATTTTATAACTATGGAAGTCTGATCTGGTTTGATCCATTTAAGTCTGATCTGGTCTGTTGAAGTCTGGTCTTGGACTTGAAACAGTCCAAAAGAAGAAGAAAAACCTTGATCTGATTGATTTATGTTCTCTGTATTTTTATACATGTTGAAGTCAATTTGAATCAATTTAATTAAAAGCATTTTCAGTTCAAACAATTCAATAATCTCCTATCATTGGTTCTTTTAAATGTTTTTGTACTCACTTCGTCACATTGGATTTTGTTATTCCCTTTTTGTTGTCTCAAATGACTTTGTCATTTTTCACATTAAAGTAACTAATTTGTGATTGTGCTCATTTCTCTCTCATTTGCATAAATCTTAACTGTACAACTTTTATTTTTCATATTTCTCACGTAAGTTGAAGTTGGCAAAGTCCACCTGGGCGGAGATAATACTTTACAAGTTTAAATGTGTTGAATTAAAAGTTATTATGGATTACAAACATAAAAAATTATAGATTGTTGTGAACTTTTAACTCATTGTCAAGGACAGGGCTATGCATATGTATAGGGGGGCCTTGGCCCCTCTGAACATTTTAAATTTTATAATGACTTGTAAATTTTTTGGGCCCCCCAATCCTGCGCAAATTACATCCTACAACCGATTGTACCGTGTGTATGATGGGATTGAAATCACTATTGAAAGCAAATCTTTTTGTTTCCATATTGTTAATTGCAATGCTATTAATATATCGGAATCAAAACATGGAATTTCTTCTACCATTGGGTTTGATGTTGAAAGAATCACTTGGCTAAGGGACTCCAATACCAAACTCTTATCTGACAATTGGTCTTGCACCAAATTTGAGATGAAAAAGTCATTTTCTGTTATCCATGATGCAAATTCTTTTGGTGGTTTCTTCCGTATCAATGAGAATGGTGGCGATTCTTTATTTGTTCCAGAGGGAAGAAATGGACAAGGGATTAAACTTTTTCTCACAGGGATTATTCGAGCGCTTACTTTGATGAAAGCAATTGATATCAAACACCCACCTTTGCTACTTGAACATGTTTCAGGAAAGAGTTATAATTTTGATAGGGATCTCTCCCATCAAAATGAGCTATCAATCTCTGGAACCCTTTTACAAGTTGATGTTGAACACTCTCACCAACCTTTGGTATTGAGTTCTATTGAGGATTTATGCCCTGAGCTTATACCTGAGATTGATTCATCATTAACTCATGTTAAGGATTTCTTTCAAAACACTATGTCTCAAGGGGTGGAGTCACTTTCTAAATTTTTAATCAAAGAGTTTGAAAGAATTCTTGCATCCTCTTTCAATGACCGCAACATTTTAAAAAAGAGACCTGCTGATGAAGAGAAAGTTATTGATTGTACACCCTCAGACATCGTTCGTTCAAGGGATGTTTTTTCAGGTAATCCGAGTTCTAAAGACTTTGACTGTGAAGGGTTTTTTGAAGAGCAATACATTGCACACTCGGGGGATGATTTTCTAGGTCATGCATCTGAGAGTGAAAAGAGAGCCCCCATTTCTTCGAAGGAGGATCTTTGGGACTCTGATGCGAATCATGATATCTGCAACAAAGCTTTATTGGTAACTAGAGGTAACTGTCTGCCTACAGAGAATTTGAACACACAAATTAAGATGTACAGGAAGAAGTATCAGCGGTCGCATGGTATGAGGACTAGATCTCAATCATGTATGGATTATTGACTTCTCGACTGAACCTCAGGGTTTTGGGAGGGATTTTTTGTGTACTTTGGGTTGGGCTATTCTCCCTTTTTTTTAGGTTCTCTTACTTTTCTCTTTCTCATTTCATTTCTTGTAATGTTTTACTTTCCATTAAAAAAACGATTGTACCGTGCGTACGGTAAAGCCGACCCTTTTAGGCTTTCTGCACTTCTTGCCCTCGCACCAGCTTCGCACCAGACCTTCACACAGGATTTCGCACCAGACGTTTTCGCACCGGATTTCGCGCAGGACTTCGCATCTTGCTTCTTCAATCTCGCTGGGTTTCTTCGATATGATTTCGCACCAGCAGCTCGTCGCCAAAATTCACCCTACTTTGTTGTTGAGGAATCCTTGTTGTTGTTAATCTCAAATAAGTTTTACATTAAACTCAAGTGAGTATACGCCTAAAAGGAATGAACATACAAATGAATGTTAAACACATTAGAAATGAGTTTTATGTTAAGATCAAATGAGTACAACGTTCAAAATGAATGGCATATACAAATGAGCTTTTGAATTTTGTGATACTCATTTTCTAAATTATGAATGCTCATTTGGTACCGCTTTATGCTCATTTTAAAATGTTGCGCATCTCAAACGTATCCTACCACATTAGATTCACATATTGAAAAATAATAAAACAAAAGTGAATTGGAAGATAGGGAACAGAGAACAACTATGCTCGTTGGTAGGCTTCTAATACTAAAACAAACAGGCTTAATGCTCACCAAAACTGCATCAATGCTCATTTAAGAGAATCTGTGTTTTTCATCAAAATTACAAAACTGCCACCGGCTGTACGGCTGGCACCGTACAACCAATTGTATAGTATACGCTTATTTCCTCTAGTAGTATAGTAGCGCAAATTAGTTTTATACTTTGTAGTACACTTATAATTTTTCAATGCCACCTTACAATATTAATTTATAACAATACTATTTTTTCAGGAGTAGTATTTTGGAAAATATTATATTATATCTATAACAACATTATATTTTGGAGGAGTAACAATTTTGGAGTAGTTATTCGATCATAAATAATACTAGTACTCCGTAAGTGGTTATATATTATAGAATAGTATTGGAGATATTTGACTTAAAGAAGTGTCCAGTTGGCTAAGAGTGAAGCAGTATTGTTGGGGTTTATTCCTTCAACCCTCGGGTCCAACACGTAAGCCCAAGGATTTCGAGTGGAGTGTGAATAAATATTGACGAGCACTTTGTCACGGTGCGTCAAAATAAATTCAATACTAACATTTATACGTAGTATAGCGTAGTAGAGTTCGTATCCACAGGGAAAGGAATAATTCTCTTTTTATAGAACTAGTAAATAAAAGGGGGGTTTAGGATTGAATGATTTAATTTAATTAAACAGAAAGATGAACAACTTAAATGTGATTTAATTCAAAGATAAAAAGGACTTGGCATTGCTACTTTCCACTTGTTGATATATTTTAGTCGATCATTGTTATATCTATAACTTATCCCCTCTCAAATACTCAATCGAGGAGTATATCCAATTCATCGAGAGTAGTTACTAACAACGACCGTTCATTAATAACCCTTACTATTAGTCAAGTATAGAACACCGCCATATACCGACTTAATAGTAGCATTTAATCTCTTAACTCCTTGATGAAATCAATTGAGATTGATAACCTCAACACAACGGTTTCGGTTTAACCAACAAAATTAATCCCTCTTAAGTTTATTAACCACGACCGTGCATTAATAAACCAAAGTTACTTACTTGTGAAACCATCAACGATTAACCATCGGTTCGTTGATCGTTTCTAGTAGTAATTAATGTCGAGATGTTAACTAATTGTCATCTTAGCAACACTCCCCAACATTAATATAGAGATAGATTAAGGGAAGAATTAATATTCAAGGAAGAAGATTAAATATGAATAATCCTACTATAACTAATGTCAAGATGTTATCTAATTGTCATCTTAGCAACACTCCCCAACATTAATATATAGAGGAAGAAAATAAATACTACTATAACTAATGTCGAGATGTTAACTAATTGTCATCTTAGCAACACTCCCCAACATTAATATATAGATAGATTAAAAGAATAATTAATATTCAAGGGAAGAAGTTAAGAAAATAACTCACAACTTTAATAATCAACAAGCTTCAAGAGCAACACCAAGAAATGGAAGTTTAGCTCCTCATTTGGAGACTAAACATGCTATAAAAATATAAAAGAAATACTATTCTAAACTGAGCTTAAGAGTATGGAAGAAGGGATGATTCAAAGTGAAGGAAAATGGGGTTATTTATAGGTGTTTTCAACACCTAATGCCGGATACCCGGCCGGGTATTTTGACATACCCGACCGGGTATTTACCAAATCAGATATTTTCCCATGTTTTTGTGTCTTCTGCACGTCCTTTGGTCTGAAATCACTTCATACCCGACCGGGTAGAGTCCATACCCGACCGGGTTTTACATAAAACTCAGGTTTTTTCATCCTTCTTGCTCCCAAACAAACCTATCCTAAACTCATAGCTCAACTAACTAAAACTTACAACAAACCATAAAATGCTAAAAATACGATTACAACCAAATGCAAAATAACAATTACAAACTTGCAAAATACTAGTAAATAAATATTACAAATGATGATAAAAGTGTACACTTAGGCACTAATAACTAGTGCCTATCAAATATCTAGCCCAACTAGCAAGTAATATGGACCAAGGAGAACAGTAAGCAGCAAGTAAGTGATTAGGTATTATTATCTCTTAATAACTCCCTAATACAATACTTTTCACTAAGGCTCGTCGGCCGTTCGTCTCACAAGGCAGTAGAAGTGCTGCGAGTAAGAATGTTATAGCTAGAGTGCTAAGAATAGAAAGTTGTCAACCCTTTACAATGAAATAAATGCTTCTATTTATACCCGCCAATGGGCAGGTGGCTATACTGACGTGGAAGCCTGTGGTTCGCTGGTGTCCCAACCACCAAATCTTCAGCATTAAATGCACTTCCCGCCAGAATCTAGGTTTCCCGCCTAATTAGTGGGGACGTTCGTCCGCCCGGGGAACGAGCCGGATTGCTCCAGGTGGCCTCCAAGGGGGGTATTGGCCGTTCGTCCCCTGGCCTTTGTGGATTCTCGCCACGTGGGCTGGGCTGCCTCCGATGGCTATGGGCTTGCTCTGACGACGTTCGTCGTCATTCTGAT